AACATTGTAACTAATATAAAAATATATTTTTAAAAATATTTTAAGTAAAATGCCACATCGATAAATATTTAAGACTATTGTATCAAAAAATGATACATTTTTAAAACAATACTGTGTTAATTTCCTATTCTATTATTCTATGTTTATTCATTATAACATTTTTAACATTTCAATTGAAAATTATTCATTATATTCTAACATTTCAATTGAAAAATTTACAACTTATTTCACTTAAGTAATACATTATTTATTCTTTATAATTTAAATGCATTACTTATAGTGAATTTTGTATATATTTACATAAAACAATTTCATTAAGCAATGTTATATTATTTTTATGTAGTAATTACTTATTTAATAACTTTTAATAATTTATTTATTTGCATCAAAATATTTTTTGTTATTAAATTAATATTGTCACTTGTTTTTAACTTATGATTCTAATTTATGTTCTTAATATTATTTATAAATTTGTACATTAAAAAATTTATAAATAAAAAAATATTTTCAAAAAATACTTTTGCAGAACATTATTTTAGTATATGTAATAATTTAATTGTAATGTTTATAATAAAATATTAAAAAGGCAGTTTAAGCATTATGTACTTTAGTTAGTAGTTCTAGAATGAAACCTTGTAGCAACACTTCCATCAATTATACCAATTGACGGCGGAATGGCATATATGATATTTTCACCATCTTTTTTAAATGTTGGTTCATAAACTTCAGGATTTACTTCTACTCTTAAGACTTTACTTTTATTTCCTAACATACATTTAAGTTTTACATCCACTGTAACTTGTAAATCAGCAAAACGTAATCTAACATAAAATATATCATTTTAATTTATATTCAAGTAGTAAAGTCATACAAACAAAATTTTGAATAATCAATATATACTCACTGATTATATTTATTACTTAAAATACCAACAAGTTCTCCAATTCTATCATCTTTAGCAATGATTGACATAATAAAATCATTTCCTCGATTTGAATGAATTACTATAAGTTGATCTTTTCCAGGTGATACACTTAAACCTGTTATTTCTGTTATTGGCATACCTTTTTTCATATTTTTGAATTTAGAATTTTCAAGTTTGTATATTGCATGTTCAGTAACTACTAGTACACGATCTTTTGATTTATTAAATCTATAATTAAAAATTTAAAATAAAATTTATACTTACACTTAATATGATAAATTAATATAATATTTAATATAAATTAATATAATAAATTATATAATAAATTAATATAATATTTCATACAAACCTATTGGTTTTTTTAATAAATGCACTAAATAAAACTGCTTTAAAATGATCGGTATTGCGAAGATTATTTATTGAAGAATTAAAAATATCACTATGAGCATTTTCATCTGGTTTAGAAAGATAATTTCCTTCCCATCGTCTATCTTGTCCCCAATGAAGTCGTTTTGAACGTAAAACTATTCCCGCGGCCATCTAAGATAATATTAATATAAAAAATTAAAACTAAAAGTTAAATATTTTAATTGATAAATATAACATACTTTTAATCGTAGTTGAGGCCAATCCTCTCTAGGGATAAGTCTAAGAATCATCCATGCCCACCATCTTTCATACATTATTTTTAAAACAGATATTATATGTCTTACAGCAAAGTTTTCACGAGGCCAAATTAAATGTTTACCATAATCTCGCATTGTTTTTGCATTTCGGAATATCTTTTCTAATTCCTTGATATAAGCATATGTTTTATATTTTCGATAATGTTTCATTATAATAAGGGTAGCTTTCATCTTTTTGTATTTTTGACGACATAAATATCCTCTCCATTGTTTTTGTAATAATATTACGATACCTGGAATTAAATCACTACGCGCCTAAAAATAAACAAAAATAAACATTTTGACAATTGCCTCAATAAGCAAAATTTTATAGATATATATATTAATAGATTAAATTAGATAAAAATTAACGAACTTTCTCTAATTCAAAAAGTGTTTTAGGTGAACGAATAAATATTTTAGTATGTCCATATTCCACGTCATTACTGAATCCTTTTTCATCCATTAACATACGCACACCATCTTCATCATTACCACCTTTAAAATTTGGCCAAGTATATTGTGATATCATTTTATACCTAATAAAAAAAAATTTTAATGATATAATTGAATTTTTGTAAAATAACAATGTATAAATATATGATTAATAATCATATGAATATAATAATATACATTTATATAAATATAAATACCGTTTTAAAAATGTATCATATCGTCGACGGTATACGAAACCTGCTCTTCTAACTAATACATTTTCAAGAAGACCTAAATATCGTACTTGATGATTGACTCTTTCTTCGTCAAATACAACCGGTGATTTAACTTCATTAGGTTTTATACATCTAACATAAAATGGTTCTTTGCTTGTTAAATTTTTAACTAGTGCTGTCATGGAATTACGAAAAAGAGTTCCAGCTGTTAAAGGCCTTTTTGTTGTCTAAAATAAAATAGTATAATAATAAAAATACTTTTATAGCAATTATAAAATATATATTTACATACTTTTAAAATATTTTGAGCACCTTCAGGCCACATTTTGCTAATTATTGGATTACTACTTTTATAAAGTAAACGTTTAAAATCTTGAAATAATGTATCTTTATTTTTATCTAAAAAACCACTAATATTATATATTACATCTCCAGCATAATGTTTAATCTTAAATTGAACTTTATGTTGGAGTTCTTTGTCCATTGGTTTTAATTGCCGAGAAGTATAATGTTTATGATCAAATAATTTTTGATCCATAGCTTCCAAAAGCATCTAAAAAAAATTATTATATAATAATTATAATATTTTAAAATATTATGATTAATTTAATTTTATAATAAATACGTAATAAAAAATATAAATTATTAAAAATAATTAAAAGTAATTAAAAAATATAAATATAAATTATTAATATATATAAGAAATAATATAATAAATTAAAGTAATAAATTAAAAAAACTAACTTCATCTGTAACTTTGCCAACATTAAGACAAGCTTCATCCATAATTGCTATAATTCCTTTATGAGGTTGTTCTACTAATTCACAAATTATTTGATTATTGAAATAATCAATATTTTGCCATGCAATACCTTCTCTTTCATATTCTTCCTGTTGTTGTTTTAATACTAATTCTGAAATATTATAAATATTAATTTTATTATAATAATTTTATATAAAATTTTCTTACCAATGAACAATTGTTGTAGTTTTTCATTACAATAATTAATACAGAATTGTTCAAAACTATTTACATCGAAAATTTCAAAACCATATATGTCAAGTACTCCAATTACAGTTCTATATCTTTTATAAGTTTCTGTATCATTTACATTAATTGCACTATTGACGCGAGATACAATTTCAGTAAATAATCTTTCATATATAGCCTGAAATATAATTTATTTTTCAAATTTTAAATAATATTTACTTATTTTTTACATACATATTTTACATATATAATAAAAAATTGTAGAAAAAAAAAAAAAATCATTACCTTTGCTAAGGCATCTCGACCATATTCTGCCTCTGTTGAAGTATGAGTTTTTTGCATAACTTCTCCACCAGCTGCAATAACTCTTTGCGTAAGAGCTGTACTTAATTCTTGTATACTGATAGAAAATAAATTTGCTGTATCATTCAAAGCAGCTTTATTTTCAATCAAAAGTTTATCCTCAATAAATTTAAAAGTAATATTACCCTATAAATCAAATATCAAATTAAGAACAATTTAATAACTTTTTAATTTTTATTATTTTAATTACAACAAACCAAATGTAATATCCCAGCAATGATATTCCAAATTGTTTGCATTTCATTTTGAGTAAATCCAAGAATAGACATAGCAGAGGTAACAGTTTTATAATCACTTTTATCAGTTGGACTTGCTTTATTACAATTTCCTGCACCAACATAAAAGTATGCAGCTGGATCTCGTACTAAACGTAATTTATTTAATTCTCCTTCACTACATCCATTTATTAACTAAAATTTTGAATAAAATATTTTATATATTATATAATATATAATATTATATAAAATTATTAAATAAAATGAAAAATAATAAAATAAAATTAAATTATTGTAAATACTTGATAAAAACAATGAAAATTCCTTTCACCATTTTGCTGATATACAACTCTTGATTTTTCTAATAAATAATTAGTAACATGCCCACCAATTGGATCTCCTTTGAAATTAAAATCTATATCCATATATTTTCCAAATCGAGATGAATTATCATTTCTATTTGTTTTTGCATTTCCAAAAGCTTCTAATATTGAATTGGATTGTATAAGAATATTTTTTACTCTGAAATATAAAAAAAAATAATTTTAATTAAAAATAAAAAATTATAAAGA